CTCTTTTAGGTTCAATCTTGGACTTTGAAAAAAACACAAAAACTCTTTTAGCTTCAATCTTGGGCTTTGAACAAGACACCAAACATTTTTTCTCCCATAGAACAGGAGGAACTACAACGCTCTGATTTCTCTGCTTCTTTTTTTGAGAATACGTAGACATAAGATTGCGAAATCTTAGCGAGCGTACTAATAAAAAACCTTAGGTCTAGATACCTTTTAAAAACCAATAGAAAATCCTAAAACAACAAAAATATTTCCTCAATCTCCCAATAGAAATCAGAAAGTAGCACCAGGAGCGGTAGTGGTCGCGCCACAAAAACCGAGTGCGACACTATGCTTTATTAAAGCCTTACTTAGAGGTTTTGAAATTGTATTGAGATTACAAATAAACTTTTATAAGAGCATCATAGGTAGAGTGAATTTGAGACCATAGTTTTTAGAAGCAACTTCGGTATTTTTACATTGTAGTGTTTGTCATCTTCCATTCAAATTTCTGGGTATTCTAGTGGAAGATAGTCCGAGGAAGGAAGAGATATGGAAATATGTTGTTGATACCTTTAGGAGAAGATTAACAGCGTGGAGAGGGAGAAATTTATTAGTAGGTGGTAGAGTTGTGTTAATCAACTCGGTGCTAAACACAATGCCAATTTTCACTCTGTCGTTTTATAGTGCCCTTCTTGTTATCCTCAAGAAGATTGTTAGAATTCAAAGCAATTTTATATGGGGAGGTTCTTTTAACCGCAAGCAATTCCATTCAGTTAGTTGGAAGTCGGTTTGTATGCCTAAGAAAAAGTGGGAGGTTCCTTTAACCGGAGTAAGTCCATTCACTCTGTAGTTTTGTAAATGAAGAGAGAGTTCAAGTCTATGTATAATATATAAGTTATTTGAAGTCCCATAACGCTTAGTTTTGTGAAGGAAGTGGAAGTCCAAAGTTATATATAGAGTCCAAGTTCTTCATTTCAAGATGTACTAGTCAAAAATACTTTAAGCTTGTATTTCGCTTTCTTTGTTCTCTAATGCTCTTGTATTAGAGTGTTATGAGATTTAGTAAAATATTTGTTTTAGAGGGTGACATGATGGTCCAACAACGTGTTCTGTTGAAGTGGCCATGACGACATAAGGGTGTCTTTAAACAACTTTACAAGCATGTGGATGAAAAAGCTTACGCTTGAGGGGGAGCATAGTGGATGGACTCACACTTGAGGGGAGGATTGTTGGGAAATAAGTGTGAGTTGTTTTGAGAATCGAATATGAGTTTTAAGTTTCCCATTGCTTAGAAAAGTGGAGGTTAAGCACTTTATAAGTAAGAGGATCCATACACCTATCACCTTAAGATTTTGGATGAATATGTGGTGTCTCTATCACTTGTTTCGGTGAGTATTTGACCTTTAGGTGAAAGTTTGACCCAATGTGAATGTTTTCCCTCATGATGACCCATCACTGGGGACCTGAGTTAGTTGAGGGTGTATTATGTGTTATAACTATTTTCACGTAGTGTTATTCTCTGATTAACATTTGACAACGGTCGTGATTTTTTTTCCGATTTTAAAATTTCCGTGTTAATCTCTTGTGTTGTTATTGTGTTCCTCCTTTTTCTCTATGCTATATTTATTTTTTCTAACAACTATGTGATTTATTTGGATTGGAATTGAATAATTACATTTTTTGAGGAAAAACTTTTTCGGTTGAGGATACTATCAATTCTATTAAATTTCACTTGTGGAGATAATTGTTTGTAGATTCTAGTTTAACAAATTCTTGTATCTTTTATGATTGATTTAATTCTCTGAATTAACTGTTTAAAGCAGATGTAATATTCTCGTTTCTCTTTTTATAAAGTGTTAGTGTACTAGTATTTTTTTTTTTTTTTATAATTCCATTGTCTATAAAAAAAAAAAAAGAGAGTTTGGTTTGTTCTCTTTTACTAGTTTGGAATCCGATCCAATGTGCATAATGAGATGGGATCAATTTGAAAAGTTTTATCAGTTAGCAATAACAATGGTGGTGTGATAAGAGGAATCTCGTTTTAAGTGCTTCTGTTTTTGGCTTTTGTGTCAAATACTTACATAGTTGGCTTAGAATATGCTTTACCAAAAAATGTTGCCATAGAAACACTTCTGATTTTCCTTCAAAAGCATATAGGTGAAAGACAACTTCATATTTTAAAACAATAGTCATAAAAAGATCCAAGCTCAAAATCTAAATAAAATAAAATCACCAATAAAAACTAACAAAAGAAAACAATGCATGGGATCTTGAATAAATTCATTACAGGAAATGGACCATTTTAACAAAAATCTTACTGAATGAACTATTTCTAACAATCAAATCTTACTATTGCATAATCAGAGACAATTTCTTTTCATCAAAACTCAAAATATAAAACGTCAATGACCACAACTATCTACCAATAAGAGTATATTGTTTCATGAAAAGGTGCGATGGTCTGATGAAATAGATGCAACCCGTGACACCTTTTATCTAATAGATCTCAAGTTTAATTTCTAGTAGGTGCAATGTTTGGCCATGTTTAAATCAAGGATTCGAATTCATGACTATTTACTTTATAGAAAAAGTCATAACCACTAGAACACATAACTATTTATGATTAAAAAGATTCATAAAATCAATTTAATCATTATTATTTATGAATTTAATATTTTGGAAATTTCTCCAATATGATATAGATAAGATTTAGCCCCTCGGATGTTAACTAAAACTTACGTACCAAAATAATTTATTAATTTTAAATAAAACTGAGAGGTAAAGTGGCGCGCGCTTCTTAATTTTGAAAATGAATATATGTTGTTGGTAGGGTCAAATCAATGACCTTTTACATTATAACATCAGTTTTTAAATAACAGATGAGTAAATTCGTTAGTTTTTATGTCGCCACGTCCGAGGTGATATATGTTATTTGTAGTAGTCTCATAGGCGCACCACATTTCATATTTCGGAAATTTCTCCAATAAGATATAGATAAGATTTAGCCCCTCGGATGTTAACTAAAACTTACGTACCAAAATAATTTATTAATTTTAAATAAAACTGAGAGGTAAAGTGGCGCGCGCTTCTTAATTTTGAAAATGAATATATGTTGTTGGTAGGGTCAAATCAATGACCTTTTCCATTATAACATCAGTTTTTAAATAACAGATGAGTAAATTCGTTAGTTTTTATGTCGCCACGTCCGAGGTGATATATGTTATTTGTAGTAGTCTCATAGGCGCACCACATTTCAGCTTTTTTAAAATAGAAAAAATTACCTATTCTCTCGGTTGTGCTAGAAAACGAGGGGAATGTTACGATCGGTAATATTTTTATTTTTATTTTTTTATTTATGACCTATTCCATCGGTTGTGTTGATAATCGAGGGGAAAGGTTATGATCAGCCTTCCCTTCGAATTCTAACAACGTCATTTTAGGACATTGTACTTTTTTATTTAATATATATTCCCTCATTTGTGCTAGCAATTAAGGGAGAAAATGAGATCTTGATAATGAGAGCATTGCATGAAATACAACCCCATTCCTAACTGGAATGAATTGCAGAGCAGGAAAACGTCTCAAGGTTAGTTCCTTAATGTATATTTTTTTGTAATTTTTAAAATTTTTTTTTTTAAAAGAATGTTTGTTAAAAATATTTGATGTTAGTTAGAAAAGTATGAATATAACTTAACAATATTTGTTGTTGTTGACGTTGTTGTTAGAAATATTAAAATTCATCAACAACAACTACATCCATGCTTTCCTAACAATATTAAACCTTTCTTACAATCATGTATTGATAAAATAATTTTAGAAATATTAAAATTCAACAACAACAACTACATTCATGCTTTTCTAACATCATTAAATTTTTTTTTTACAATTATGTATTAAAGAAAATACTTTTAGCAATTACAACAAAGAGATTACATTAAGAAACCAACCATGATCAAAACATTTCTCTCCTATTACAATCTGTTATAGAGAATGGTTTTGTACGTTGTTGATTTCACTTTGGGAGAAAAACCACATGAGGGGGAAAAGTTGTAGATTTCATCTCACTGGAAAAACCAACCGAGAGAAAGATTGGCTTGGGTAGTGGTTTTCTGAGGTCAGGAAGTGGAAAGAAGAAGATGTTAGTCCTCTCAAGAAAGGGGAGCGATTAGGAATAGGGGGAAGAAAGTTAGAGGTAATGTTGATTTTTTACCTCATAGAACATTAGTCAATAAAGCTGAGTGATTAGGTTTTTCTGAGGATTTTTGCCCCTCTTCTTTTTCTATCCCAGTTAATTCTACCCTAGTGTTTGTAGAGAATACCCTTTCTTAAGTGCTTCTGGTTTTGGCTTTTGTGTCAAATATTTACATAGTTGGCTTAGAATATGCTTTACCAAAAAATATTGGCTTAGAAACACTTCTAATTTTCCTTCAAAAGCATCTAGGTGAAAGACAACTTCATATTTTAAAACAATAGTCATAAAATGATCCAAACTCAAAATCTAAATAAAATAAAATCACCAATAAAAAATAATAAAAGAAAACAATGCATGGGATCTTGAATAAATTCATTACAGAAAATGCACCATTTTAACAAAAAATCTTACTGAATGAACTATTTCTAGCAATCAAATCTTACTGTTGCATAATCCAATGTATAAGGTAGAACTTTGTTGCTAGCATATATATTACTGATATGGTAACTTCTGCAACTGTTTTAGACTGCAATTGTGGTGTGATTTAATTTAAAATCACACGTCCAGCCGCATTCGAAACCGCATCAGACAATTTATTTTCATCAAAACTCAAAATATAAAAACCTCAGAAACTCAGTTTAGTTATAATATAATGAAAAATTTATATTAATTCACTTCATGGGATGAGTCTTTCAAATGTGCATTTCAAACACCTATCAATAAAAATTCCATCGCAACGAACAAAATGTACACAATAACCTCAATGACTACAACTACATCAGCGACTGCAATCGCAATTTAAAACCATCGGTCATAGAATCTTTCAAAAAACAACTTTACACTTTGTAGAGCCCTTTGCTAATGAAGATAATTCAGTTATCATTTGTTGTTTTGCTTTTATATCAGCATAATAACTAAACTTAATTTTCATAGTCTTTAGTACTTTTGAATTTTGCAAAATGTATTTTGCGAATTGGAGCTCAAGTTCGGCACCTTTACAACATGTAAGACAACATGTTCTTAGTTGCGATGAAAGACATTTTGGAACTATTGGTGGATGCTCCCAATATTCGCAATTTGAACTGTCTTGATCTGCAAATTCCTGTCAAACAATCACATAAATTTCTATATTTCAAACATTTAAATGCATGAAATTATACTTAAAAATGGAATAAAATATATAATTGAAACATCATCAAAACCTGTATGATTAAACTTTGAAGTTTGTCGCATTGTTCAAGCATTTGTAGCAACCAATCCCATATATTATCCCAAAATATAGGGCAAAATTTAAGTTCTAAATGTGTCACATTAAGAAACTTGGGAAGTTTAGAACACATTACCAATACTATCTGCATGAATTACACAAGACACTGCATTAGAAATGTATATAGAAATGTATATATAACCAAGATTCCTATTTTTTTGTCTTTTATAGGACTAAACTTTTTCTAAAGATTTAAAAAACTTATTTTTCTTAACCAAAACTAAAATTGAACCAAGACTAAAACATGCTTTTAAATTGCGATTGTAGATGTTGTTGTAGGTGTCGTAAATGCGATCATCGCGACCGTAGTTGCAGACTCCAATTTAAAATCAAGGACTAAAGTAAAAACTCCTTAATTTATAGAAACCTAAAATGTAAAAGGCATCAGGTCGCGTAAAAGACCGTCATCGCAGTGTGAATTAACGACAATTTGTTGATACTATTTTGTTGATACTATTTAGCCAGTGTCCGTTTTCGCATATATTAAAGCTATAATGAAACAAGAATTTATTTAGGAACAAGATATAGTCTCATACCTGTTCCAGATGTAGATTCTCAACATTACGAACCAAATTAAGAGGAATAACAGAATCATCACAAGAAATCTTTGCTTGGACTAAACTAGGTAACAGGTCATCAAACTCTTCCTCTGGAACATGTGATTCGTCGTCAAGTAAACCTATATATTTGGTTTCCAATTCCTCGAGTATATGACAACCAGACAGAAGTTTAACAAGCAATTCATGACGTTCGAAAATCATTCTCTTTAAATGAAGAATTTTCAGAACAGGAAAATCCACTTGATGAGAAAAATCATTCACTAATATCCCATTCAACTTAAGAACCTTAAGGGTCTTGCAACTAAGAACACTAGGTGGTAATATGATGTCATTGTCAATGATTAGATTCTCAATTCCTCGATTCATTACATAGGAAACAAATCGAGTAACATCGCATTTGTTGTGAATAGAACAAAGGAAGGTGCAATTGAATCGAAACGAAACGATTGGAAGCCCGCTGTTTCGTAAGAGCATCAATTTGTGTACAGAATATCCAAATGAGGCCATGTCTTGGAAGGCTTTGCAGTCGAAGTCGAGAGTGAGGACCGAGAGCCATACTGATTTCCATCTCTTAGAGAGGATGCTTGTGGTTGCAGCATGTTTGGTGGGAAGAAAAGAAAGAATGTGACAAAGAATTGAATCGTGAAGCTCACTGATTCTATCTGTCCTTATCTCTCTCCTCGCTGCCACCATAGTAGGGAAGATCAAATGCAGTTGCGAGTTCAATGTTAACGCTTCAATGGAGGAAAGGGTTTATAGCGAGTATATTATATATATTTAGGGTTACTAAAAAATAATATTTAGGGTTTTAGGAAAGGGTTTATAGCGAGTATATTATATATTTAGGGTTACTAAAAAAATATAATATTTAGGGTTTTGTTGTTGTAAAGTAACAAAATAATGTCCAACTTACCATTTTAATCTCTTAACCAATGTTCTAGGTCACTTGTTAGTATTTTTTATTAAAATTTTGATTTATTTTTATTTAAAAATTATTTTATAAAATAATTTAATAAAATATTATAAATAAATAAATTCAATTCTTTTTTAAATTGAAGGATAAATTCTCACTTTCTGAAACATAAATATAAATTATTGAAGATTAAAATATCATCAAAATCTTTTTTTTAAATATAACTCAAAAATAAGTTTTATTAAAATTTATTTTAAAATAACTTCAAATTTAAATGATTTTTAAAATATCAATATCAAAAACAATTATAGCCAAAAATTGAAATATCTAAAATATTATTTTAAAAGTAATTATTTGAACTAAGTTTTCTAAATAAGTATTTGTATTTTTTTAAAAATAAAAATATAACATTATAAAAATCATTTTAAAAAAAATATATGAAACAAACTACCCTCATAAAATATTTTTAAAAAAATTGAAACTAACAAATCCTATTACACGTGTTTCATTAAAAAAACAAATTATAATCAAAATTTTAAAACTGTAACAAACTACTCCTATAGCCGGTTTCATCTACATATTATTTAAAAAAAAAAAAAAACTAACTAATAAACTATTTTTTAAAGGAGTGTAACAAACTATTCCTATAAAAGATTTATTTATCAAAAATTATATACGTTTTTGAAATTATCAGTGTGATAGAATCAACAAACACAAATTGAATAAAGATGATTACAATTTACAAAATTTAAAAATCAAATGAATAGATTTCAATTATAATATTAATTTCAAATCTCATAACAAACTTTTCCTTAAAAGAATAAGGAGCTTTTATCTAACTATTCTACCTATTTAATGGAGAACCACAAAGTTATAATTCATTCATTAGACTCGTTTTCGAATAAAAATCACAAGAAAAAGCCATAAATCATATAGTTACTACTTGCATAGAGTAACATGAATCCAGGCAAGGCAACATTGTCACAAAATTCAAAACGAAAGAAACCCTATGATTACAAAAACAAGGAAGAAAAGATAAGATATACAAGTAACAACATGATACTCTTAAAAACGGCAATGAAGAACTCAATGAAGAATGAAGGAGGCTTGGAGGCTATGTTTACAAATAATATGGTTATAAAGTCCAAGTGCGTATCGAAAAGAAAATGTTTTCTTCGTCGTCAATCCTTTCAAACCACACCATCTAGATTATCCATCATGTCTACTTCTCCAGAAGACTTGCCTATCTCACCAATGCCGATTAGATTATCCATCATGTCTCGTGCTCAAAAATATTTAAAAAGCATAATGAGATGCATTTACTTATTAATCAAGCAATCAATAAAGTTGCCATGGGAAACTCTAGCTTAAAATTTTGTTACTTTCTCCATCTTAAGAACAAACTATTTTTATTAGAAAATGAAAGAATAGTTAATCAGATAGTTGGGGGTTTAAGACATAATTGCTTCCAGGAACGTTTCAAGAACCAATCAGATGAGGTTAGAGCATTTGGGAGGTTTGCTGGAGGATTTTGTAGCACTCCAATCTTCCAAGTATGTGAATGTTTTAATAGTTGAAGAGAATTTAATGGAAAGTGATATATATATATATATATATATATATATATATATATATATATATATATATATATATATATATATATATATATATATATATATATATATATATATATATATATATATATATATATATATATATATATATATATATATATATATATATATATATATATATATATATATATATATATATATATATATATATATATATATATATATATATATATATATATATATATATATATATATATATATATATATATATTTATTTATTTATTTCGTTGACGACTTCTTTTATTATGTATAAATTGTGATATATTTTGTGATATATTATTGATATTTTAACATTTATTATTGGTCAAAATAATTTTTTTAATTTAAAAAAAGTTTTATAATGACGCTTATTTTTTAAAGTGCTACAAAAGAATTTCTTTTTAAAATAATCAATTATTATATTATATTTATTAGAAAAACAAAAATTTCAAAAGAATTTTGAAAGTGGCTAACAATTCGACTGACTGTCGCCGGATGAAATGGCGACAGTGTTGATTTTTCACAAACTCGCCGTTTTGATTGGCGACAAAGAACAAAATCTCACAAAGTCGCCGCTTCCATCGGCGACATAGTTGTAGCTAGGATTTGCATTTTTTGTTTTTTTTACTTAATGGTTTAATTTATATTAGTATCAAATAATTATATTCTTATTATTTAAAATATTGTTTTTAATAAATTTAAATAATTATTTAAAATATAGTTTTTAATAAATTCAAGTAATTATTAAAAATAAGGTATAATAAATTTAAGTAATATTAATAAAATAAGTAATAATTATTGTTTTTAAATTATAAATTATTTTAAAATTTTAATTTTAAATTAACTTAAATACAAAATAAAAATTGATTAACAATTTAATTTTAAAGCATATAAATTGATTTAAATTATAAATTTTAAAACATAAAAATTGATTAACCATTGAATTATAAAGGGTATAAATTTTGTAAGGGCATTTAAGACATATCATATAGGGCACGTACTATTTTATTTTTCTATAAATAGGACTGCAAACACATATATGTTTTCACAACATTGTATACCAAAAGACTACGTTAGTGCATTTTGTGTGGAGTGGAGCCTAGAATGTCTGCATTTCTAAATCAACGTTCTTCGTCGTCATCAGCATCAGAGGAACCCTTTCCAACGTTCGATCTAATGAAAAGAAACGTCGTAGTTGTGTTTTAAGCAACAAAGCCTCCGATGAAGGTGCTCCTGTGGAATACGCAGACGTTGGAGCACTTGCATAGGGAACTGAACCGCTGGCTAGAAGGAGATATGGAGAAAAGATTAGGAAAATCGAGAGGTTGGTCGAGCAGACCGGGAGAAACGGAGTTACTCGGGAATGGAGAAAAGTGGAAAATGATGTCGGTGTCCTTGTGATGATGTTGACACCAAAGAAGATAAAGTTGATGGCCGTGATATCATAGACGCCTTGGTGCAATGTTCTGGTTTATGTCTTTACGTTGTTGTTATGTTTGTTTAATTTATGTTGTCTTGGTGTAGTGTTCTGTCTTCATGTTGTTGTTATGTCAATTAAGTATGCTTTTAATTGAATGAAACTTGGTATTAATCGAATGAAATTTGCTATTAATGGAATAAAATTTGCTATTAATCGAATAAAATTTGATATTGATTTAAAGGGACAAGATTAGATATGAAACTATGATCTGCTGCTTGATCCTACGTTAGGACATTTTGTACGTCATTTGACCCTACCCCCTCCACCTATAGCCTAGACAGCTCATTTGACCATACCCCCTCCAACTACCCCTCCAACTATCCACTATTTGACTACCACACCCCACAACAACCAACACACCATTTCTAACCCAATTCCATGTATGCATTCGGACAACCATACCATCCATACTCCACCCAACCTCCCCGACAATCCTTCGAAAACATGGGCATTAGATTTGACTACGGAAGCGCCGTTGACAGTGGACCCCCCCGGCTATTGGGGTCATATGCTGCAAAATATATCTGATACACCGGGGTCATCCCAACAAAACCCTCCTCCGCAACTCAACACACAACGATCAAACACACCACAGCAACCTCGTCAAAGACCTTGTCGCACCGCGCATCCCCCGCAGTGTGGCACCGGTGGTCGCTTAGATAGAGCCGACCATTAGTTTTTTTTGTTGTTGTAATTTTCATTATATTGTAAATTTATTTTAATATTTTTTACATTTCTATATTATTTTAAGGTTATTTAAATTTCCATTCATTATGCAAAACAAAAATATTTATTAATAGGTAATTAAAATATTTATAAATTAAAAAAAAATTAATGTTATTACCATTTAAATATTTACATATGTTAATAAATATTATAGCATTTACATATTTTAATAGAAAATATGGTTAATAAATATTAAATATGTATTAAATATTAAATAAATATCACATATGGTTTATAAATATTAAATATGTATTAAATTTTAAATAAATATCACATATGGTTTATAAATATTAAATATGTATTAAAATATTTACATAAATTAAAACATTTAATCAATGTATTTAATATTTTTTTTAGAAAATATTAATAAAACAATAATGTTTAAAAATTAAAAACCAAAAGCGAAACCCTAATATAGCTTGAGTCGCCAATTGAAATGGCGATATCTTTTCCTTTTGAACGTAGTCGCCAATTGGAACAACGAGTTTGAGGAGAAATGAACATTGTCGCCATTTCATCCGGCGACAGTCAGTTGAATTGTTAGTTACTTTTGAAATTTTTTTGAAAATTTTGTTTTTATGGTAAATATAATATAATACTTGGTTATTTTTAAAAAAAATTATGCTACAAAATCATGTTAACTATTATAGCCAATAAATAGTGATTTTTGAGAAAACGATATTAAACAATGTTATAGTGTAGTAGGTTATGATAGAACTTTTAAATGAAGCACTATTAAATGAGATGCTTTTAATAGCGTTTTTAAGCATTATTTTAGGTAGCACATCTTTAATAGCATGAGCTTTTAATATACTTAAAAGTGCTATTAAAGTCTTAAAAAGCGCTATTAACTAACTCTTCTGGTGTAGTGGTCGCCATCGAACTTTATTTTTTCCAAAAAAGAAAAGAAAAAATATCGATAAATTCCATAGAAGATTACAAAGATATGGTCGTCGCAACC